AGCATTCGGAGGGCAGCATCAATCGATATTATAGTCGACACTGTTATAGCCGACACGATGTCACGTGAAACTAGGGCTACAATGTCATGTAAGAAAGTGGACCTCGGCCAATCTCGGTTTGCTTGATGGATCAATCTGATCTGATCAGCTCTCGGCTGTTCGCCGTCTGGCTGTTGCCTGCCTCCTCTCACTTGCTCAGATTATATAACATCATATGTAAGATTATTTTGTGTATGCGAAAAGAAAAAAATTTAAAGATTAAATTTTAAACTGCAGATTTCACACGCTGGCGAATATAAATTCTTATTTTCAGATGTGAAAAGAGAGGGAAACACAAAATTAATTTGTCCCTTGCTTGCTATGTTTCCTTACATTTTTCAGCATCAGTTCTACGCAGAATTAAACTTTATCTACAAAAAAGGCATATATAATTAGTGAAAATTATAAAATAGATGGTAGAATTTTTAGAGAAACTCCATATTCGTAACTGAGAATTAAAAACGATGTCAAAAAAATGGATTAAATTGAAACGGTGAAAAAATTTAATTCATTACGAAGTTATCTATGTATATGTGTATGCTATTCAGTCTCATTTCTACTTCAAAGCCTCTTATCATCTCTCGACTTCGTCTTGACGTCGCGAGTGTTTTGCGAGGTATTCTTTGCGCATCTGCGATATACACAGTTTTACGATACTGTTAATTAGTACATTAATTAACGGATATTTTCGGGATATAATTCGAGTCGTTTAGCGTTGCTTGCTGCTTTTTAAGTGAAATAATTAAAACTCGCTGTAAACAAAGATATTGGTTTGAAGATTCAAGTCCATCCGTCGTAGCTGTCACGGTCAATGTTCTCCCTCTGTTGCATACCGTGTATCAATTGATAGAACACTATGAACCTCTCGTGTCGCATTAATGCACCCGAGAGGTCAATCGATAGCGTCTCTATTTTTCGCTCGGAAAAACAACGGCACGTCTTTTACGCGAGATGATTCGACGAATATTTGTTTTCTCGGTTACACGCGGCAATCACATGTGAAAGGAATCCTTATAGAGCGCGAGCAGAGTGACCGCGTTTCTAAAATTTCTCTCCTAACACGAATTGTTGGGCACATATAAATCGATAAAGATAAAATTATAAGTTATTGCGGGGATCGCGTTTTCCATGTTATCAACAATTTTGTGACATATGGAATAAAATTTTTCGAATGAAAAATTGAAGCGAAATTTGGTATTCCATTTGGGTTATCGGTTTTCGCTCGTAATTACTTCAGTGCGGTAGATTTGAAAATTCTTTCCTTCCTAGCGTAACATAATAGATAACGCAAGGCGGATAAAATCTGAAAAGTATGCATTAATTTCATGCGTGCACAAAGACCTTTCTGTTTCGTCCTCGTATATAAAAGACGAGAAAAACTTCTCACTTACATTATTGGCCGATATATATTGACCGGATGAATGCAGAAATTGTCCGCGATGTATCGATTGCCTCGCGACACACACCCGACGTTTCGCAATTTACGATCGCGAAATCGGATCGGATTTGCAATCGATCGCCTTATCGTGCGCTCCACTTACTCGAAAATAGAATTTATTCGCGCGTGCCTCGCGCGCTATCGCCGCATTTGCATAAGGTGCCAGATATCGTCCGTTCGCGTCCCATCGTTCCATCTGTTGTCTTCGGCGTTGACGCAGTCAACACTTTGCATGCACTTTGCGAATTTTGAACCGGACGCCACGTTGCGACTTCTCTTCCCTTTGCCTCTTTTTTTTTTTGCCGGACATGGCCAAACAAGCCGGGCGAACTCGATCGGAGATCTCGCAGAGAATGACGAAAATAAAACGTTGCGAAAACTAAATGGAGTTCAACCTTGGAATTCCAAGAATTCCATTATTTCAGATCTGTATATATTATGTTATTATACGACAATTTTTCTTAATTATTGCGTGTTTTATTCATGATTTTATAAAAAGAAGTAATCAAAACATTACGTCGCAATTTTTTATATCTATGTTTTTTCCTCAGTAAAAGCTAAACTTAGTTAAACCTGATATCTCTGTTGCGAATGAAATTGAAATATGTAAGACACAACATTCTGAAAAAATATAAAATCAATTTGAAGTAGGATCAAATAATAAATTAAATATGTTATTATCGCGGCTAAATTTTTTGCCGAATAAAACGTGACTAAATTTTATTTGCCGTTGTCCCAAGAGCCGCGTTTACGGCTCTAAACGCGTACGTTTCTCAGTCTACCCTAACGCTTCTGAAAAGTGCAGGAGGAAATAAAGCTGCCGTGTTCAACAATATGCGAATACTGCGAGTGTCTTGCGGTTATACGTCGAGAGAATTCGAACGTGTCGAAATAGGTGTACCACTGCCAGAGATTAAACTTACAAACATGTAACCGGCGTGCTGCCATGCGTCCTGCGCGCGCGAAAGGCCTTTGTGAACCGGAGGCTGTTGATATCGAGAACGAAGAACGAAGGAGAAGAAAGCCCGGGACGCGGGGGGGGGGAAAGAGGAAAGAGAAAGAGAGAAATTGAATGTACCAGGGACGAGTCGCGACCCCGGGAACACGACGGCCGGAGAGAACGGCCGGCTACATTCTTAACTTCGCATTAGCGCGGTTGACTGCGACATAAAGTCATCCTCTGCAATGAGGGAAAATAGCGAGGGTCATCCGCGGGGAATAGTTCACGGTGGGTATCAAAAGACCCGCGGATACTTTTATATCCAGAGAAAGGAGTAACGGAATAACGGCGGAAATATATTTCCACTTCGGGACTGTTATGTATGCAAATCGCTCCGGTTTTCAATCTTTAATTCATTCGAGGATTATTGTTGTTTAATTTTACATACACTTTATTTTTACGCGGGAAGATACAATATCCGGCTTGGAAATACAGTATTTAGTCCTGCAGAATTTTAAATATTCCGATATTCGCGTTATTTCGTCAGAATTTTAATTGGATGGTATAATTGAAGAGTTACTCATTTTAATAAGATAATATTTTACATTCGTTTGTTATACAAATATACACGTGTGCGCGCGCGCGCGCGCGCGCGCGCCTATATCGCGTTTTAATTTGCATTTAATAATATGATATTTCAATATTTTAATATCATGTCTCTCTCCGAAATTTTTCCTGAAAAGACTTCTTTGCTTTGCGGAAAATATTCTGTCAGAATTTTAAATTGGAATGAATTCCGGAATGTCCTGCATATATTCGACGATCAGTTCAGTTTCGATTGGAAGTTTCTGAGGTTTTTCCATTCGACAAGCGAGTTCTGCTTTTTACAGCTTGTAATCGCTTGCATTGCCAAAACGCGCTATCGCGCACGCCCCCGTCCGCGTCTGGAGATATACACATGTAGTCAGTCAGTCGGTCGGTGCACACACCCCTTCAATTCGTCTAGATAGCGATTGTTTTTACCAGCATATTGCATTTTAACATCCTCCGGCGATTATCAATCGTGCAACATTATCGGAGGATTTATTAAAAGCACGCGCACTCTCTCTCTCTCTC